AAAAAAAAAAAAAAAAAAAAAAGAAAAAAAATAGAAGAAAGGAAAAAAATGACTGTATTTCTTTTGTAAACGTCTTTTATAGCATGGATTTTCAAAGTTTTATAATTTGTAAGAAACACTCTTTTGTTAGAAAACACAAGAACGTCGACTACAAACGATGGTCTATTTTAAATGTTGGTTGCTTATTTTAAAAAGGAGAGAAAGGAAAAAAACAAAAGATAAAGTATGATGGCTTGTCTCTTTAATATGAAAGAACCTTTCATTTCGTGGTAAATCAAAGTTTTCTCGGAGTACAGATGGTGCATTTGGAATTTTTAAAAGGAAGAAGGTATGCGGTACACTCAGATCTTTGCTACTTATCCAGAAACATCTTCGAATAAAAACTCTTTTCGCGAATCTTTGTCGTTCATAACAAAGAAATCTCTTTCGCGCTATACGAATACCAAGTTGGGGAAAAACTAAAATTCAAGAATGAGGATAGAACATTTTTTTTTAAATCAAATTTTGTTATTATAAAATGAATAAATATTTAGATATTAAAAAAAAAAAGAAAACATTCAATTGATGCGAAACTTAATACGAAGTATTAAATAAAATTTTGTAATGTTATTTATTTCGTTTAATTAGTAATAAATAAAATAGTAAAAAACTTAAAAAAGGATTACATTTTATCAATTATTGAATTTATTTTAAAATTGTGAGAATTAAAAAAAAAAATTTTCACTTAAAATTTTTAAAGTTTTTAATTCTTCTTCGATAAATAGAAATTTTTTTTAACAAAATATTCATTCCACACTATTATACAAGTGCTAGTTAAGTTGCTTATTAAACAAAATTACAAAATTGTAATGATCTTTTTAATATAATGTGAAATTAAACAAGCGTCATTAGAAAATAATTAATTATTTTTTCTTTAATTATATTTTACATATATATTCTTTTAGTGTAATTCTTTTAACAATTTTTGAAAAAATATTCTTGGAATTTCATTCCAATGTAGATCACAAATGACTAAGATCAACCAATCACATCATTGTCAATTAATCAACAGTCTAAGAATTAACAAATAGGTATACATAGGTATACATGGGTTTGATTAAAAATGTGTACCACTTTTTAAAAAATACAAGAAGAAAACGTTTAATATATATATAATATATTGCGAACAGTGTATACAATGTCTCCGCTGAAATAAATGTAAAATAGAATAACGGTATAGATTTATGTTCATATTGTTCATATGACGGGGAAAGAATTATGTAACAAGTTGGACGCAATTTAATTCGAATTAAAGAACAAACTTACAT